AAAAAAAAAAAAAAAAAAAAAAAATATATATATATATATATATATATATATATGTGTGTGTGTGTGTGTGTGTCCCTTCAAAAATGACTGGCCTACAAATAATTGCTTATAAATTTCTTATGCTGTATGCTACTGTATATTATGGTAATTTGAATTAAATCCTTTTATCAACTTGTTTTCTTTCACTTAGCACAGGTTTTGAATTTCTTTTTGGAACTAATTGATAATTGATCTGAGCTTATGCACCTCAGTTTTGAGTGAATATTGCCAAAATGATCCACAAATCATGCGTTTCAAAAAGAAGTAAAAAATCTGTGCTTAAGTAAAAGAAAAAACAAGTTGACAAAAGACTCTGTTAGCTATAAATTTGGTGATAATATAGCTAACAGAGTTCTACAAGCAGCATTTTAAATGCTGGTGGTTTTTGACTGGTTTTCAGCACAGCACAAGGGTTAAAATCTAAATAATAGTAGTTTATGCTAGTAAATAGGAAAGAGTAATACACAGAGAGTAATACATTCTATCACATACAGGAAGATAACCACAAATACCTGTAGAAAAGTTAATATTGCTATTATAACCATGAATGCTGTACATAGCCTAGACCTTATTCACAATATCCACCCTGTTTATCTAGAAACATTACCTTATTATTGTTATTAGCACTTTATATTTACAAAATAGAGATATATTTACTTTCACCAAAAAAAGAAAGATTTTAGGATACATTAAAACATATAAAGATACATTAAAACATATCTTTAAAACAATCTGCATATCATTGTCTAGGAAGTTTTTTTCCCAAATAAACCAATGTTCACCCCTCAGACCTTGTGCATTGTATTTCCTTTCTATTTCCATTTATGCATTTAGCAGATGCTTTTATTCAAAGTGACTTGCAATACATCATCAGAAAAAAAGGTGCAAAACCTGTCACTAGGGCGGCACCTTTTAAAAAATACACCTTTGTTACCTTATTTACCCCTAAAAGGTGCATTTTGGTACCTTAAACTTATAAGTACCTTAGTACCTAAAATGTACATATTAATACCTTTTGAAAAGGTACCACCCAGTGACAGCTTTTGTACCTTTTTTACGAGTGTAGAGGAGTGAGGAATTGAGTGATGATTGCGCTGTGAGGTTATACAGCACGTGTTATACTGTATGACTAATAGTCATATGTCAACAGCTCATTATGCAAACTTGCATGGAGACACTAAATGAGTTTTGAATGCAAAATGGTCCTGAGTTGCTGGAAAAACACACAAAAGAAGATTATTTTTCTCAGAGAGTGGAAGACCTGTGATCTTGAAGCATCAGGTAAGTCATCAGTTTTACATAACAGAATGTTATGTCAATACGGAACTACATGAGTATGTTTATGATCTATCTGTTGTTGTTGAAAATGCACTATATGGGAATGATTTCTGTCTGACTTTGTATTGGAATTACAAATTTAGGAACAGCTTTAATTAAAATGTTAAACTATGACTTGGATTCTGTCAAAAAATTTTTGATAAACTTGGCAACTATGCATGGGTTATGTTTGTGACTTCTTAATCTATGTTCACTGTTATGTCAATACGGAACTACATGAGTATGTTTATGATCTATCTGTTGTTGTTGAAAATGCACTATATGGGAATGATTTCTGTCTGACTTTGTATTGGAATTACAAATTTAGGAACAGCTTTAATTAAAATGTTAAACTATGACGGATTCTGTCAAAAAGTTTTTGATAAACTTGGCAATTATGCATGGGTTATGTTTGTGACTTCTTAATCTATGTTCATTTTTATAGCACTTACAAATGTAACATGGACATTAATCAGTTTTGTCAAGTCAATTATATTGATATGACTGAATCAGGAAGAAATATCTTCACATAAGAACTGCACAGCTTCATATACCCTTTATGAAACTCTTGTATGTATTTTAGTTTACATTAGGCTACATGTATTGATTAACTCTTTAAATTTCATACATAATTATTATCTCTGCTATTATTATTAACTATTATCTCTGGAAAACAACAATGAAAACATTTGAAAATCAGCCTAAACAAACCAGACCAGCCTAAGAAACCAGACCAACAAACCATATCAGGTAGATTTTCCAGCAAAGGAGCCATAAAAGACCAGTTTTTATGTATCAGATTGTTTTATTTATCCATCTGATTTTCTAGCTTGGTCAAACACCAGTAGCTGCTCAAATCAACTGTCCTGAGAACCACAGAGTGGCCGTGATGCTGTTTCTTCTTCTCTTCATTTCATTGGTTTGCTCTGGTAAATCATCTCTCACAACTGCACACAAACATATGTACAAATTTGTTTTAATCACTAAATATATAAGTCTCATTGGTTTCATTGTTGTTTTATGGGTCATTACACAAATTCTTCTGTATTTTACTGCAAATAATGGCACATAAAGGGTAGCTTACAATCAGACAGTCTTCAAGATGATCAGGTCTTCACCCTGTTTTGAGTTCATTTAGCTATTAAACTGAGTGACTGCACATCCTCTAACTGCTTAGCAAATCAATGGCCATGAAATAGTGATCTGAGTTTCTTGAGAAGAAAGAGTGCTAGTGATACAGGAGAAACTAGAAAACTGTAGGAAACCTTAGGCTCACTGTGCTGAACTGTGCATGGGAATGCTATATCAGAATATCTACATCTGTACAAAAATAATTCATTTTAAACTTATGATTTGACAGGACTGTCAGTGGAGAGCTATGGAAAATACTTCATCACAGCATTCCCAGAAAACATTGCCTACTACCATCCACAGGAGCCCTCCAACACGCTCCAAATTACTGCTTTCTACGACGAGACCCTCGTCTCAATCAGCATCAACTACACAAACGTATATAATGATGAGATACAGTCTGGGCAGACTAAAATTGTGCATTTTCCCAAGTACATCGAGCAATATCAGTTTACAAACTCCCCTCTTTTAGTCAAAGTCAACAGCACTGAAAAGGTCGTGGTGCTTTGGCTCAGTAAACGCGGGGACAGCGTGCAGTCTAACGTCGTTCAACCTGTAAAAAATCTCGGAAAGTCGTATTCAATCCCATTTATCAATTACAATCGGATGATGGCGTCCTTGTACAATATGTCAGATCAGTTAGCTTCCGACAACTGGAGATACAATTCGTTCAGGCTGATAGTTATCAACGCCGAGCACGCCGTGAACTTAATCACTGTCCAAAGTATCAGCGCGGATGGTCAAAATGCATTTGACATTACGCTCAGGCCTTACGAACTTTACCAGTTCCAAGCTAACGGTTCGGACATTAAACTGTACTCTAATGCCAACATGGCTGTGCTGTTAACCCATCCGTGTGTAGAAACTACCGGATGTGATTGCAATATGGTGGTGAGCCACGTTCTCCCCCAAAAGCTGTGGGGTGACACGTTTGTTGTGCCGTTGGTGAAGAACCTGAATACAGCCTGGCTACAAGTGACTAACACAACGAATATAAGGCTCAATGGCAGGAATATAAAAATCCAACAGTCCAATTCCTCAGAGCTAATTCCCTTCCCGGAACTTAAGAGTGCATCTCAGTTCATCAGTGCATCAAATGAGGTGTCCATCAGACTTATCAGTCCAGGCTTCGTCTTAGAACTCATACCAGAAACCATGTTCGCCGCTTGTTACCTGGTTCAGATGAACTCGACAGAAGGTGAGGCTGTCATCATAGCTGAAACAGCCAGTAAGGACAATGTGTATATAGACGGCAAATTACTGAAATCCACTGGCTGGAAACCCATTCCCTATTCAAACTACTCTTCCATATCTGTATCGCTTAATGGTGTGCATGTCATCTGGCATCCAACCTCCAAGATCGGAGTGTACAGGTTTGAGAAGATGGAGAGTGGAATTCCTTACGGAAGCCCAGCTATCATTTTAAACGGAGACCCAGGTAAAATGTTATCTTTTTTATCCAAGAGTAAGTTAAAGTCAACATCAAATTATATTTGCAACCTGTACTCCCATTTTTGGAAGGATTCGATTTTAATTGGTTTATGAAATCAGGAATTGATTGGATTGGAAAAAATTAGGATATTATTGAATGTCTGAATGGCACATGACATAAAATTGGATTCATTCGCAATGTGTTTTATATAATTATGTTTATTTATGATGCATAATAATACTGCTATACACTACAGTTTAAAACTGTATTTTTTTTTTAAGAAATCCATATTATTTTTTGTTCAGCAAAGATGTTATTAAAAAAACCTATTTAAACTAAATGCTGTTCTTTTTAATGTTCTATTCTTTAAAGAATTCAAAAAAAAAAAGTATCACAATATTGACAGTTTTTCATAAGAAATGTTTCTTGCGTAACAAATCAGCATATTAGAATGATTTCTGAAGGATCATGTGACACTGAAGACTGGAATAATGGCTGCTGACAATTCAGCTTTGCCATCACAGGGATAAATGACATTTTA